GCCTGGCTGGGGAATTCTGGAAGTTGAAATCCCCACATCTTAAAATGGCCAAGTTTGAGAACACACTGCTCTAAATAATTTTTTACACATTCCTATGAGTAAGATGAGGGGGCTGTGGTGAGAACATTAAAAAAAAGAAGACATCTCCTGGCATTAGTGTGGCCAGCAGGAAACCAATCTGTACCATACCTCGATGGCTAGAACACCAATGGCAAGAGCTCCTGCAAGATACACAGAGGTTTCAAGGGAGTTCAGGATCACAGTGTAGCAGCCCTAGGGAGAAAGACAGAAATCCATCTCGAAATAAATGTTCACGCAAAGTCAGTGCATTCACTTGCTAACCTCACAAACAGCTAGCGAAAGAACTTTCAAAATTGAGAGCACGTTAACAAAAATGATTAAATTATATACCACTCCAAACCAAGGGGACTCTGAGCAGCTTGTATTCTCTTCCTTCAGTAGGAAGATTGAAACAGGAAAGCAATAGAACAAAAGAGTAATTATTAATAACAAGTAACATTACAAAGAACATGATAAGCACTAAGGAACAATAAATATTCATATACAGCCCAAGACGGAGGTTCTCAGCAAATCCCAGCTCCCTTCTTGGGCAATCTTAGAAAGCCATGCTTTATAGCTTTCCTAAAACTCAACAGGATTGAGGCTGGTTATCTCAGGAGGGGAACTATTCCAGAGAAGAGGAGTTGCAACTGAGAAGGCTCAACTCCTTAGGCCCTGTGGAGGGCAGTCTCTGAGGGCCTGGAGCATGCCTGTCCTCCTCAGCCTTGTTGAACGGGCAGAAGCTATGGGGAGCAGAATTTGACAGTTTAGTTCTTGTTTAGTGTGGTCATCTCATCCTAGTTTAGCCTGATAGAGTCGAACAGTTAAACAGAGAGCCCAAGAAGGACAAGCACAACAGAGCCAGTACTCGGTTACAGATAAACTGATAGACAAATATATCGTATAATAAAGGGAGAGAGTTCTGAAAATGTTTGTCTTCCCCCCACACTCAGGTCAGGAAATGTAAGATTGGAGTTCTACATTTAATCAACTTGTTTTACAATCTGAAACACAGGTAGATCAGAAGACAGGCTGTAAAATCTCTATGATGCTTAAGTTTGTTCATGAGTGCTTTGCGGGTAGAAGCATTACTGCAAGATTCTTTGGTTCATTCTCCCCAGTTCTGCAGACATGCTCTATGCCTGTAGGTGCGTCACCCTTTTTGAATATCAGTTATCCATTTGCAAAATGTGATCATGCTAGATGATGTTTCTTGCAAATGTAAACACCATAAGAGATAGCTAAATTAATATCTTGTTCTATACTTGATCTTAGACAAGCCAAAACAGCAAATTCTGGTTTCTTTTCTGGTCATATAAATCTTTCCCCTTTTTTACTATCTTGTCCTATATGGTAGAAGAAGAGGAAGAGGAAGAGGAAGAAGAGTAATTCACCCAAAGAAAGGGTACAGTCTTCAATCATTTAGATAAAGAATCACATCAAGTCAGGAGTTTTTCACACCATACTTTTATCCCTCAGCCTAAATCATTGTATAAGTATTTTGGTCATCTTCTCACCTGTTGGTTCTGATAGATATCCTTTCCTTTCAGACACTCTTCTTTACTGATGAATGCTCCATCACGAGATTGGAGCTCCCGTCGGCAACAAGCTTCAGGGACAGCATGATGGGAATCCAGAAGAATGGAATGAGAGGCTGCCTCAAAATCTTCTGGACCATTGACACCACAGCAGCCAAACTAGCACATATGAAAGGTGATCAAAGGGTTAATATTTGTGGCAGAATTGGGGTGGTTTCTTGGAAATCTGAGAAGGACATGCAATAAGCAGCCACTCAAATAGGGCTTCTGAAAGTATAAACTGAGGATATAATTTGATACTTGATATAACATTCTATTCCCTCCTAAACATTGCAACTTTTATTTTTTAAAAAAAAAGACAAGTATGTTTCTAGTCCTTATGGCTGTGAACCTAGGCTTCAACCTGTGAGCACAATGTATGTTGAAATCCTCAGTTATAAATAAGCAAATCGACAGAGTGTGCAAAATCTGGGATATTGGATCCACTTCCTATAGAACTGCTTGCTGTTTTCTGTGTTTATGAAACATAACACAATTGGCCAAAATCAGCAAATATGTTCAACACTGTTCAGTTTGCCTGATGCTCATTGGCTGCTATAATCTCAAAAAATATTTTTCAATATCATGACCTCTTTTGCACTAGTTATAATATGGTTTGCTTATTTCTGTCATTATATGAACCCATCCCTGATGGCTTTGTGTTAAGAATGAACCAGGTTACTGTGGCTTGTTCAAGAAAATGTAATATACAATAAAAATCCTGGCATAACATTACATATGGACTTGCATATGTTAAGACCCAACAGTTTCCCAGAAGTGTGACACAATTACAACAACAGCAATAACAACCTTCATTAGGACTTAATGAGAAATTTTCAGATTGTTGCCTTTGATCCTCTGGTAGTGCCAAATGAGATCAGTTCCATAAAATAAAGTGTAAGTTCCTCATTGGTAATATCTGCCTGAAAATTTACTAAATCAGTTAACAGCAGCAGCTAGAACAACTTAAATGTCAGAATTTAAACAGTCTGGGACAATTAAAAAAAACCAACAATCTTTGTTTTGCAGTGAACAGAGAACAAAATGGGCACCAGGAAAGCTACTTGGGAAAAGTCGTTCTTCCCTGCCTTTGACACACACATCCCACAGGGATTTACTTTGTTCCTTCAATATTGGGCAGACTTGCTTCCACTTTTTTAATTTACTCTGGCATTTTCCTGTGGAAAAAGGTCTCCATCCTTAAGAAGTAGAGGAGGTGCATCAAACTCATACCTTGCAGATCCCCAACCTAGAGGAATGCAGCCCAGCCAATGGATGAATACAAACAGCTGGTCCTCCCTTTGTTTGCAGTGAAAGTCCTAAAAATGGTGGTCAGGAAAAGGATAGAAATTTGCAATTGTCACCTGCTCACCCTTTTTCCTCTGTCACTCTTTTATAATTAGAGCACTTGGCAACATGGGAAAGGCTTCTCTTTGGGCTACTCACACTTACCTGGAAGAAAGTCTCACCACTTAATGAAAATTATTTCTGAATACACAGATGCAAAATTGTGTTGTGACCCTGTAATCTTAAATACATTTCCAGAGAGAAAATCCTATTGAACCTAAATAGAAGCTTTTATACTATCAGGCCAGTGAGCCTTCTAACTCTTTTCCTCTTTTGCTTTTATTACCTATTCTGTCAAAATTAATTGTGTTTTCATTCTTTTGTGCAATTGCCAGCCACTGTTTTATTTAAAACGAGTAGCAATTTTGTTTGTCTTTGAGTCAATTCCTAGGAACCTCATGTCCATGTCTATGGTTTTTTTGGCAAAATTTCCTAAGTTGCTTGCCACTGATTTTCAAGGGTTTTCTTTTTTGGGTGGGGAAGATTTCTCAATCTAGTCTACAATCCTGGGGTTTCCTGGTGTTTTCCTACCATACAAGCATGAGCCAGTCCTGACTCTGCTTAATAATTAATGAACATTTCTTTTTAAAAAAAATCCATATCAGGATGCATTAAACAATCAAGTACTTACTGTGATCATGACTGAGTTCCAGGTGGAAGAAAAGACATCTGATTCATTGTTCCCCTGATAATGCTTTTTCAGCTCCTTGGTAAAAAACTCTCTGGTCAGCTGCAACAAAAACCACGCACAGAAGAGAGAATGAATGAATTCATGCCAGAACTTCAAAGCAGGGCTGCATTTCTACTCAGGGAAATAGAGCTCGAAAGCAAGATTTATAACACAGCTATGAGCACGTGATGGATTAAGCCTAGACGGTTTAGGTGCTCCATCGAATGGAGATGCATCCTTGAATTCAAAGCTAGGCAAAGGAAAAATATGACATGATAGCCCTTAGAATTTCCTTTGACATTTACTGGACACACTCCTTTCACAAACCACACCACTTTCCACACAATTTCACCCTTCCACAATTTCAGGTTCTGGCATCTCTAGGTGGATTCCTATCAGAAACCATGGAGATTCAGCAGCAGTCAATACTGAATGCAATGGCCCAATCTTAGGGCTGTTTCTCATATTCTGGGAAATTTTCCATTCCTTGTTGGATGAGACTGCCCTTCTATTTAGAGACCTTAATTCCCTTTTAAAAATAAAAAAATTAAAAGCTTGATGCATTTTCAGAGTTTTTTTTTAATAGAGATTAAAAATAGAGATTAAGACATTCTCTCTCTTTTTGCCTTAATCTCTATTTTTGCTATGATTTTAAATATAAGCCAATATACAAATTAAGAGTATATTCAATAAAGCATGCTGACCTTTTTATTCTCCACAGGAGAGGCCAATTTCAGAAGATGCTGACATTTTCATACAATTTTTCAAAATCATGCTTTTTGTAGACACAGAATAGACACAGGAAATTTTTCAGTCAAGTGGACCCTGTTTTCCTTCTGTGGCTCCTCTATGTGCCCCTCAAACATCTTCCTAAGAACTGTGAGACAACCAAGTAAATTTGAGGGGAAGATTGCAAGTAGGAGCAAAGGAAGAGGAAATTCCACTATAGGAGTAGACTTCCTTGGATACTGCTCATAGAAGCAAAGCTACAGAGCTGGAAGTAATGTGTTTATGGTTGATCTGCCCAAATGGTTACTGAATTTTTTTACCGACTGTCCTATAATTTCCTCTACAGTTATGAGGTTCATAAGTACACAATTACAATGTGAAAGTGTGGTGCTAGCATTTAAAAGATGTTACTAATTCCATCTGCAGGATCTATAAAAAAATGTCACCCATGAGTTGAGGATTGACTTCTGGTAATCATATGGACATGTCCATGTAGCTATTTTGGAAGCAATAGAGATGGTTTGCCACTGCCTTCTTCCAGGACATGGTCTTTGCTTCCTAGTCTACAGTCCTGTGATTTCTAGGTGATCTCCCATGCAAGCATTAATCACTCCCTTCTTTGCTTCACTTTTTCCAGATCAGCCAAGACTAGCTAAGTGCTGAGACCCCTCTTAATCACAATGGAAACATAACACATTTTAACAATCCACAGTGATAAAAGGAATGTACACTAACAGTTCAGAATTAACAAGTTCTCTCTAGTGCGAAGTTTTGTTTTGTTTTCCTGGAAACACACTGGGGGTCATTTTACTTTTTATATTGTTTGCCTTCAACTTTATTACTAAAATTAATGGCCCCTTCTGCAGACCTCACAGGATTTGCCAAGGACATATGAAAGCTACATCTTAAACGACTTCAACAAGAGCAGCTCTATCACCTCTAAACGGAAATGCTTATTAGTCAGACTGGACAAGAATATTCCCTGGGGAAATAAGTCGGCTCCATCAGGGACCTTGGGGTTAGGAGGTGGCCATACATACACACAAGCATTGTGTTTTCCTTTCCTTCTTTTGCATAATTTACAGAGCCTGGACTCCCATCCTGTGGAGGCAGCCACCCAGATATTTTATTGATGCTTGTCTGTTTCCTAAGTGCAGACTTTGAAACTAATATTACAGTTGGTAAGAGTCCCAATTGGCTTCCTTTGACCAGTTCTAAACAAAAGAGCTATTTGAATATAAAGTGAAACCTTTATTTTGACAGGCATGATCCCAAAGGAAAAGTTGGAGGACCGTATGTGTGATTTTTATGAGATCTGATCTAAAACAAAGCCCAACGCTGGGACTGTATTTATTTGCCAGAAAAATACTCCATTCCTTTTCACTAGTAGAACATTTAAATTTGCTCCAAATATTTTACAAAGAACGATAATAGATTTAATAGCCAGTTCAAAAGACTCAATAAAAACAAAGCAGTAAAAATATGTAGTACTGTTTAACAATTGTTTTTCTTCTTTTTAGAAGCTGGAGTTAGGCTAAGAAGGTTTTTGTTCGCTGTTTTGTCAATGCACAAAGCACTTGGATTCACTACAGCAAGTGATTTTACTTAAGCTTTGGCTAATAATGACAGTGATTGGAAAGTTATCCAGATAGTTGACAGAATAGTTTCTCAGCATCCTCTTTTCCTACTGAGGAGATTCCTGTGTTTCTAGGTAGAAAGGCAGAATGCATCCTCCTCCTCCAAGATGCTGAGGATAATGAAATAACAGGGAGGGTTCAATTGGCAATGGGGAAAAAAAATAGCATGAATCCAACCAAGCAGAGGTAAAACAAACAAACAAAAAACAAACCCCATTTTTATGCTGTGTTGATGCTGGTGGCAAACTTCTGTACCCACACTGTTGTCCAGCGGAGCTTTATTGAGCAGCAAGGCTTTCTTCCATTGATCGATGAGTTACTGGCAGTTTATTGGGACATTTTTGCTGTATCTTTATCCAGGTGCAACATGGACAAGATTGTTAGCATAACTGAGAGTATGAGACTAACCATGATTGTTTGTTCTTGTCAATCAATCAATCTTTTATTACAGTCACAGATCAGAATTACAAATAAAAATGCATTAAAAATGAAATAAAACAAAACTTGATAATATATTACAGTTAATGGTGGGATCATCAGTGGGCAATCAAAGTCAGCCTAATTTTACAGACAGTGTAAGAAAATTAAGCTACGTTCAAAGACACTGAATCATATTGATCAGATAGCAACAACTGTATATTAAAAAGATCAGAATTTCCTGGGTTTTTTACCAAATAGGGAGTTATAAAATGGGTCTGTGAGTCCTTATAGAAGGAACAGTATAGCAGGACATGAGCTGTAGTTTCAATAGCCCCTTTTCCGTAGGGGCACAATCTCAGCTTATATGGAACTTTCTTGTATTGGCCCTCCAAAACTGCTGTGGGAAGAGCATTGCTATGTTAGTGCCCTTTGGAATTTGGAGATAGTTATATAATGTAAGTATCTCGCTGGTTTATATAAAAAAAGGGCTTGACTGGTCAAAAAAACATTCTTAGATAGAGCACGCTGTCCTGTTGGACTTCCAGATCTTTGATACATTGTTCAAATGCACTAAGTGTATGCTCATAGCCCATAATTAGGAACATCTCCCTGGAGAAGCCAAGATGTTGAAGGTTTTGAGAAATAGTCCTAAGCCATACTGATATTTATAATTGTCCACAATAAGGAAAGAACTCAAACCTGTGGGAAAGAACAGTAATTTCAGCCAACATGCTATAAGATCTTGTCCATCCTGCCTCATGCAAATGTTTGCATCAGGTCCAGCATTTAAGAACATTGGCTACCTTAAGGAGGCTGCTAAAAGACCTCTTCTAAACAAACGGATCTCACAATGTTTTTAATGTAAGTTAGTGTGTTTGTCTTGTGTTTGCTTTACTTTTTTAGTCTAAGCTTCTTTATTAAAAATATGCAGTACATTTCAGTTAAGAAACATGATCCCAGTTATCAGCACAGAATACTCATTTGTTCATTGCTTCTCTCATTTCTAAAGAATCTGAAGCTTCCTCTG